TTTTTTTTTTTTTTTTTTTTTTTTTAATGTGGATTCATTGCTCATGAAAGCTTGGTAAAACAAGCTTCCATTTATCTACAGGTTGGTATCAGGGCAACACTTGCCACATATATCATCTTGCAAGTACACCTGATGCTATGGGGGAACCTCATCTTGAATACATCATTTCATTTCCATCTAAAGCAGGGCTGTCATGTGTACGGTTGTGGGCGATATATTTTCAAAGCCCCTTCATGTTTTTTTTCAGTGCTGCCCTGCACATATGAAAAGAGCTTCCACTTAATAATCAGCTACTACTGTGGAAGCTACTTCACAATATCCTCTGCCAAATGCTCACCTTTGGCCTTGAGGCCTGCGCAGAAAAGAAAATAAAAGAAAAAAGAAGAGACTTAAACAGCAAAGATGATGCATTTCCCTTGATCGATACTGTCTCAGGCTACAAAGTTTTATGAGCAGAACTCCAAGTCTGGCAAGAAAACAGCAGGGAAGTCTTCACACACAAAATCCCTTTGTAGCAGCAGCTGCTGATGCTGCCACCACTTTCACTATGGGCCCTGCTGCAGTTAAATTAAACCTGGGTAGAAACCAGCTATAGATGAGTTACACATTTTCAAGCACTAAGTGTATAGGTGGTTGGCTCTTTTTATAGCTGGATAGTCATATTTACTGTGCGATAATTACTTTGCATGCGCAGCCAGTCTAAATTTGTTGCACGATTCACCAGATCACTGCGTGATAATTACTTGGCCTGTATGGCTGGGCTAAATGCATCACACAGCCAACTGGCAAATCACGCAACACATGTAATGTGCAGCAGGGACCTCTCTCGGCAGGTGGCGACTCCACCTCTCCCAAGTGTCAGAAGGCTTCTGCTGCTGGATAAAGGTGCCTGTAGACATAGTGCCCCTTCAGTTGCCTCCCACAGTCCCAGCTTGGGCTTCTCCTGGGTGGAGCTGCCATGTGCACCAGGGGAAAGTGCCAGCATGCGACTGGCTGAGCCCCGGCAGCTGCTCCCTCTTGCCAAGGAGTCCTGGCTGGGTATGGTTGTCTCCAAAGTCGTGGTCTGTGTTCAGAGAATCAGGGTTGGGACCTCAGGAGGTCACCGCTAGTCCAGCCCCCTGCTGAAAGCAGGACCAGCCCCAACTAGATCATCTCATTCAAAGCTTTGTCTACCTGGGTCTTAGAAACCTCCAAGAATGGAGATTCCATCACCTCTCCCGGGAGCCTGCTCCAGTGCTTCACTGCCCCCCTGGTGATGGTCTGTCACCTTCAGCCTCCAGCTAAGGAGCAATGAGACCCAGGACATGTGCGCCAGGACAGGCTGGCGCGCAGGCGTGTGCATGCACACGCACACTGATGTACGCGCATCCACGCAAGCACACACACACCCACGCACCCTCAGGTATGCAGGCACCCACCCCCACACACGCAAACACACCCACACCCACTTATACATGCACGCGCACACACACGAGCACACCCATTCACACACACAGGACCCCATTCACCCACGCACAAAAACACACACACACCCATGCACACCTGTACACATACGCACAGCCTACCCACTCACCCATCCACATGCACACACACCCCTACACACGCATGCACATGCCACACAACCCCCCCCCATACACGCATGTACACACGCACGGGTTCCCCAGGGTGAAGGCTGTCGGGCCTGTGGGCAGGGCCCCTGGCTGGGCAGGGGAAGGCCCCCCGCAGCCCTACGCATGCCGGCACAAAGCGAGCTGCTGCCCCCTGCCCGCATTAGCCTCAAAGGTGCACCTGTGCCGAGCTCGGGCTGGCACTGTCAGGGCTCGCCGCCCCCAGCAGCCAGGGCCGGGCCCGCGCCCTCACCGTGTATCCGCGCTCCAGGTCGCTGTCCTCGTAGCGGAAGGACGGGATGCACAGCTCCATGCCGCGCCGGCGGGAGGCGCCGAGCCGCGGAATAGCCCGGCCGTGCCCCTCCCTCCGGGGGCAGCGCGGCGCGGG